ATATCCAGCTCAGCACTGCATTAAAATTTGCCAGCTGAGCAAAACGTTCATCATTAAACACACAACTAAAGTGTATAAACATGGGATGTGAAAGTGGTGCATTGGTTAGCTGGGTTCATTCTGTTGTAAGAACATCTAAAATAACTTGGAACACGCTTGGAAGGTGACTTTAACTTCAGTTTATTGCAAAATGTGCTCAGAGGTTGGGAATGTGGTACATTAAGAACAATAAGAGTCATTATTATCACAATACAAAAATTTGTTACCTAAAAACAACTTCTTAGCTTTTCGGCAGATTTCAAACTAAACCAGAACACATCACTTTGTCTCTATTAAGAAAGAAATAAAATGTACAACAGAGAAATTCAGAATCAAATGTAACATTACAGAAAACAGAAGGTAAGCCTGTGAAAATCAGTTCAGAATTAAGCAGAAATAAAACAGGAACTGCTCCTTAAAAGAGCTCGAATGGAAATTCTAACTGACTATCACTGGTCCAGCATAACGTCTACAATCCTGCAGTCACAGCACATCCAGCAATAGGAATAAGTGGATGCACAAAAACTGCAGGAGGATGAGGATAAAGTGGCTGAGTGCCCTAAACACCCTACTTTACAAACTTTTAAAAACTGCTAAAATAAACAAACAAAAAAAAACTTTCTGCTAACACAACAAAAAAACTTCCCACAGAAATCAGTGTGATTGTCCTCGGGACTGTGCTAGCAATCAGCTTCTGATTTGCTTGCGGAAGAAGGCAAAAGGTGTTTGCGAGAGAGAGACCTAGACATAAACAGAGGGAGAGAGAGAGAGACGGAGAGGCTGTGCTGAATCTATGCATTGTTAAACTTCTTTTAAACAGTGTCATTTCAAGTTCTATCTTTAGTTTGTCCAAATATATTCTGGAGCAGACTGTGTTAAATATATACTTGCCAACCACATGTATGGATAACCTCACCTTAACTGCTTCTCCATTAAGTCAAAAAACCTCTACAAACTCATTCCAGATGCAGATCTGATCAGAATAAATGTAATTTCTAGGATGCATGATGATATCGGAATCATATCAGTAGATACCTGCTTAAAAAACAATCATAGGTTTAGATTTGACTGATAATTAAAACCGATATTTGACAATATACTTATTGTACTCTGGAAAAGCAGAATGTTTAGGGGATGATGGTTTATTATTATGTATTTGTAATGCTAAACCAAGCAGGTTTACCTCCAATTTCCACATTTTATAAACATGTTTATGCATCGATATTAGCAGAAATGTACATAAAAATATCGGCATTGGCCCAGAATTCTCATATCGGTGCATCCCTGATCGTTTCAGCAGTGTGCTACTGTTTGATAAGCCAAAACGTTTGACCAATATAGCAATGAGACAATTCACTTTCAGTCACTCAAAACACTCTCTGCCCTACATTATTACACTTTTAGAGGATATTTTCAGGTCTTTGGTCCACTCTACTTGCCCTAAGTGTACTGTTTTCTCAGTTAATTGCTTTATTGAGTATTAGAGACACTGGCAGAGGCCTCACTATCAGTGTACTGAGTCCCATTACTGGTCTTTACTGTTCTCCATCCAAACACACAGGCTTTCATTGACATACAGTACTGTACAAAAGTCCTAAACAGCCAGTTTTTTTGTCAGTAAAAACACTACACACTTAAAAATAGTAGTAAAGACAAGTAAAGAAAATCGTTCAATAGAGAACCATGAACACTCAAAGAACCCTTTGCATGACGCTTTTCGAAAATGGTTTCTTATAGCACCAAAAAGAGTTCTTCTACTGTTATGATGTCAAGCTTCTATCAATAGAAAAAAAAATTGGTGCTAAATAGAACCGTTTTCAAAAAGGTTCTATATAGAGCCATCTATAGCACATTCTGCAGCAATCTGAAGAACCCTTTCATAATGCTAAAAACCCTTTAATCATGCAAAGTGTTCTTTTAATGTTCATGATCCTACATATTTTCTTTAGTAAAGAACCCTTGAAGAACCATCATTCTTAAGTGTGTATGTCGTCTTTTTGTATATTGTCTATAACTAATTTATCTTACAAAAAAAGACTTGTTGTGACTTGGCCTTTAAATACAGGGTGGGTGGGCTTTATTCTACACCTTTCCTTATTCGTCTCACTCTGTTTTCTGGTCATTCATGTTAATAGAAAACCTTGACTCTGTTCACACTTGGTCATTTTACATGTCTTCTGATTATATCCAAAAAGAGATTATCCACATAAAAATGCAGGTGTAAATGCACCCAAAGCACCAGTAAAAGCCACATTTGACAACCAAAACCCCTCCCAACACTGCGACGGCGCCCTCTGCTGTTCTTCCTATAGGAAAAACCTCCCACTGGACTCCTCTCACTAAACAGAGGCAATCACTGCTCCTTCAGTTCAGCTCCTGAGGGGAGTTTAACTCAGTAGCCTTTAGCAGTTTGAGCTAATTAAGCACCAGTTTGGTTAACGTTTACTTCGCCTGGTCACTTTTTTACAGTCTCGCTATAATACCCTGTTTTAATGTGTGCGGCTGGTGATGCTGGAAACTAGTACAGGAGGCTTATTAACCAACAGCGGTTTTCTTGTGAACACTGACTGCTGGTGTGAGGACATAAACAGTGTTGTACAAGACTGGGATTTTCTTTTGAACAGAACAGAAAGAAGAGGAGCAGCACAGGTGATTGGCTGTTGTATATGAGCTGATTTGCATATTACTCGCAATACAGAAATCTCACATCAGTCTGACCAACTTGAGACGCACGAGGTCAGGCTTTCCAGTGTAAATGAATGTAGTTAAAATCTTATCAGGTTATAAGCAGAGGAGGGTGGTAAGTAGTTACATTTACTCAAGTACATGTAATTAAGTAAATATTGATGGATTTGTGCTCTGCTGAGTGTTTTCAAATTGTAACATTTTTACTTCTACCCAAGTTTATTAGTGAACATAGGAATCTACTTTTCACTCAGTTACATTTTAGCTATGCATATTTAGTGACCAATTCCTTTTTTTATTATTTAACTTCATTCTGTTTTGTTGTTGACAGCATCTGTACTGCTTTGTGATTGGTTGCATCTCTGACTTTGGAGCTTTCGCACTTCATTTTCGACCAAAAATAATCCCAAAAAGAGAAAAGCCGAGCCATACAAACTTCAGTTCCTGTGCTAATAGATGCTGGATGGCCTAAGAAGTTCCACTGCAGTTCTAGAAGTTACTAAGTACCTCAGTAGTATTTTGACCTGATACTTTCATACTTTTACTCAAGTTGTTTTATTTGAAAGTACTTTTACTTGTGTCAGTATTTTACCCAAGTATCAACAGGGCCTCATTCACCAAGTGTTCCTAAGAATCATTTTTCACAAAGATTCTGACGTTCACCAGTGTTTTCTTATTTGGGATTTGTTCTTGGGTAAGAACAGAATCTACCCATACTTGAGAGCACAAAGGTGTGAACAGGCTGTGCAAAGGTGTGCAGTTCAAGAACACGTCATGAATCTGATGTAGACGTTGTCTTAAGACCTTCCTCAAGAACACATTTAAGGAAAAACATAGAAGATATTTTGGTGAATGAGGCCCAGTACTTTTACTTGAGTATTGATTTAGGCTACTCTACACATCTCTGGTCACAAGTTACATACAAAACCAGGAGTAAATTGTCTCTGAACGGCTCGGCCACTGATTATATGAAACGTACAAAGCAGGAATGATTTCTTTAAACATTACTGTGCAGCTGGCCTCCAGGGTCAGCGTCCACTACATGTAACATTAAAAAGAAAATGTAAATGCAAAAGAAAAACAATAAAACTTCTGACAGCTACCAAAAATACTAATTTTAAAGAAGTCCCTAAAACATTTTCCGTTCACCTCATTCACATGGCGACCATTCACGCAGTAACTGACGTAAACATGCTTCACCAACAAATATACGCTTTTGCAGCTACTGTCGCTAATTTGGACGAGTTTTACGGAATACAGCCAACAAAATCTCATTCATCCTAATGAGAAACTGTGCACTCTTAAAAAAGATGGTTCTTCGAGTTCTTTAGTACAGACAATGGTTCCATATAGAATGATGAACACTCAAAGAACTATTTTCATGCTATGTTTTTTGCATGGTGAAATGGTTCTTCAAGTTTATGAAGGATGTGTTGTATATAGAACCTTTTTGAAAATCAAGCTTGTAACAATAGAAGAACCCTTATTGGTGCTATGTAAAACCCTCAAAAATGGAGAATGTGTTGTATATAGTTGAATATAGAACCTTTTTGAAAAGGTTCTGCTACTTCTACGATGTCAAGCTTGTAACAATTGCAGAACCCTTTCTGGTGCTATGTAGAACCCTCAAAAAGGTTCTATATAGAACCATATACAACACATTTTCTATCAGTCTGAAGAACCATTTCACCATGCAAAGAACCATTTAATCATGCAAATGGTTCTTATAGTGTTCAGGGTTCTATATAGAACCACTGTCTTTACTAAAGAACCGTCTTTGTGAGTGTAGTGCACTCAATTTTTGACTAAATGCATAAATTTAGAGTGTGTTATTCTTTTCGAATGACATTTATTTTGTACGTGTGTCAAAGATGACAGATCAGATCCTGACAGATCAGGAGTTGCGTAATCAAGCTAACATTAGCATGATGTCAAGTTGGTCACTGTTGTTTACAAATTTGATCGATTAGCAGCAACAACAACAACAACAACAACAGCAACACAGTCCAGCTCGGTAGAGAATTTAAAGTCAACAATGTGCAAATCTAAAAATCACTAATAACTATAATTTCCTGTTATGTTCAATGGGACTTTTTGCTAAAACTCTGCCAAAACTGTAAAGCTTGTCCAACCTAGCAACAGTTGCTATGAAAGAATGCATTTGTAGGTGAAGCATGGACGGTCGAATAGTCTGCCACTTTCCCAAAGCTGCTGAATTAAGGCCGTTGCACACCGAAAGTGAAGCGAATAAATGACATGACAGCTTAAACTAATCGTTTGTCTTCAAATTTTGCCGGAAAAAAAATCTCTACAAACAAGCAAAATGTCTTTAGGTGCATAAAATATCCTTTGCTCCTCATGAAAATAGGCAAACAGTGTCACTCTTTAGACTACAGTACATTTTAGAAAAGCTACAGGAGAACCGAGTGTTTCACCACCTCATTCAGGAGCTGGAACTTCATGGGAGCTCTAAAAGATAGCTTGGATGTGCGTAACGCAGTTTCAGCTGCTTTTGGAGATGCAGCACCACACATGACAAAGCGGAAGGTGAACTAATCCTTCTGAGCTTTGTAAAAAGTTGTAGTTGTCGGGATACGGCTGATCTGTCTTCTTGGTCGACCTCATGTCACCGTCAGAGACAACAGTGACAGGACGAGTGAGTTCACGAGTTTGCAAAGGTCGAACAGACAGTGAATAAAATAATGTTGCATTTTCATGTTTGGTGTGAAGATATAATCAGTTATACATGCGTTTCAATTCATTTCCAGACGTCTGAATAATTCGCACTTGATTTGTAAAGACTATTATTTTGTATTTTTCATTATATTGTATAATTTTATTGTTATTTAGGTGGAGGTTTTATATAAGCCTATTAGTTTTTTGGCCTCTCCCTTCACTGTATGTTGTCTTAGTCTATTTGTGTGTATTTTAAATTGTGCAAAATAAACTAAATTAAACTAAAACTAAACTACTAGACTATTACACCATAAGCAAAATAGCAGCCATGTGAATAAGCTTACTGTCTCTCTCTCTGTCTTTCCCTCTCTGTCTCTCTCTCTCTTTGTCTCTCCCTCTCTACAGTACGGTCAGATGACACGCCTCCTGGTAGCTTGTGGCGTTGACGATACTAAACATGTCCCTTCTCACGAAATTCAGAAATTTACTCAGAGGACACAGCGGCTGGGCAGAGTGACGGTCATGATCCCGGCAGAAGTCGGTGTCAAAAGTCAAGTCCTGTCCGTTGTAGAGGACTCGAATGAACGCGTTCTCCACAGCTCCTCCCTTCTTTCCTTTTCCCTCCTTTGCTTCCGGACTCTTCCACAGCTCAAACACCAGCCTGGCCGCGAACCTCGGAAACCCCGCCCGTTCCAGCCCTAGTGCGCTTAGCAACGGCGCCATGGTAACATCGTGGGCGGAGGCCAGCGCGAAAACAGGTTCCTCGGCGCCCTTGTGTCTCCGCCTCACCGCCGCCTCCATCCTTAGCGCGGTGCGGTTCAGGTACGGGTGGGCCGCCAGCACGGCATAGCGGCGGTAAAGTCCCGCCTCCTGCCGCTCCCGCTCATCATCACGCTGCTGCCGTCGAATCACAGCAAAGTGATTAAGCGTGAGACACGCCCCCTGGGTGTGAGTAATAGAGTTAGTGTAAGCACAAGGGAAAGGAAGACCGTGGCACAGGTGGCACAGCAGCGAGTCCACCGGATTGGCAGCCCGCAGCGTCCGAGTGGCCACGCCCAGGACTGTCGCCATGGCAATGTAAGTGTGCTCCAGCTCTGCGTCCGAGGTCCGCTGCCGGTACTGCCGCTTCTGCTCTAGGTCCAGGTAGCGGCTCCTGGCCGGACAGTCGCAGGACGAGCCGCAGAACAGCGTGCTCCACTGCTGCCTGACCGTCAGCTTGGACCAGGGGAAGTCCGGCAGGAAGCCGTAGAGCAGAGCCAAGCCGCTTTGCAGCGTCCGGCTTTTACCTGTGGACTCCATGAACACCTGCCGCGGCGACCAATCAGGAGGCAGCAGCCTGTGGCGTCTGATATAGGCCTGGTGCAGAATCTCGCCATTTTTCAAGTGCTGGACCACGCCTAAAAGAGAGAGAGAAAGAGTGAGAGACTTGCTTAACCTTTAGAATTCAAGAGCTACTATTATTGTTTTGGTGTGATTATATTCAAATGGGGCGGCAGGGTGGCGCAGTGGGTAGCGCTGTCGCCTCACAGCAAGAAGGGCCTGGCCGTGCGACCGGGGTCGTTTCTGTGTGGAGTTTGCATGTTCTCCCCGTGTCTGCTTGGGTTTCCTCTCACAGTCCAAAGACATGCGGTCAGGCCGACTGGACATGCTAAATTGCCCCTAGGTGTGAGTGTGTGTGTGTGTGTGTGTGAGAATGTACGTCTGTCTGTCTGCCCTGCGATGGACTGGCGACCTGTCCAGGGTGTATCCTGCCTTCTGCCCAGTGACAGCTGGGTTAGGCTCCAGCTACCCTCCGCGACCCAGAAGGATAAGCGGTTTAGATGATGGATGTGTGTGTGTGTGTGTGTGTGTGTGTGTGTGTGTGTGTGTGTGTGTGTGTGTGTGTGTGTATTCAAATGCAATTAAATAGTTGTAGTCCTATGCAAAAGTTTAGCCTTCTCTGTTCAAATTACATGTTTTGTTGATTTTCTAAGTGAAAGTAAGTTTACACATCCTGTACAGAGAACCCACTTCTGCACATTTTAATGCACAGTTACAGTTAATTTACTAAATTTAACATATTAAAGAAAAAAAAAAAGAAAATGAAGCCTGTGTAGAAGTTATGGCACAAGGTTAATTCTTTGAATTTGATTCAAAAAAGTCCCACTCACTGATCAAAAAAGCATTCAAATTGCAAGATGAACAATTCAGAAACACAGTGACTTTGGAGTAATGTTTAATTTTTTTAATATGTTAAACTAAGCAATAAATAGAAATTGTGCACTAAAATGTGCAGAAAAAAAGCCATATTTAAGTGTGTTCTCTGTAGAGGATGTGCTGACTTACTTTCACTCAGAAAATCAACAAAACATAATGACTGAGTGTTCAGACTTCTGCATTATGACTGTATCTGGGGAGGAAAGTCACGTATATTAGAGTTTTCGCTGAACTGCTCCTTTAACTGATCTCTAACAGATTGTTTGTGTGGTTTCAGACACTGTATGACACTGTTTGTCTGTTTTTATAGATGACGGTATGAAATGTGATTGGTGAGTTGAGGCTGTGATTGGTTACCTGTCTGTGTGAGCTCCCCCATCTCACAGCTGCTGTGATTGGGCACTCGGGGCATAGAGCCCAGTGATGCGTCCCAGTGGCCACGCCCACCCTGAGCCATGTGACTGATGAAGGAGGCCAGGAGAGGGTGAGAGGGCTTCCTGAAAGAAGAAGAGAAACAAAGTGAGTGAATGAGTCAGTGAGTGAGTGATTGACTCAGAGAGTGAGTGAGTCAGTGACAGGAGGAGTGAGTGAGTGAATGAGTGACTGAAGTCACTGTGTTGGTGAGTGAATGAATGAGAGAGTAAGAGCGAATGAGTGAGTCAGTGAGTTAATGAGTCAGTGAGTGAGGTGAATGAATCAGTAAGAGAGTAAATGAGTCAGTAAATGAGTGAATGAGTCAGTGAGTGAGTGAGGAAATGAGTGAGTCAGTGATTGAATGAGGGAGTGGGTGAGTGAATAAATCAGTGAGTGAGTGAGGAAATGAGTGAGTCAGTGATTGAATGAGGGAGTGGGTGAGTGAATAAATCAGTGAGTGAGTGAGGAAATGAGTGAGTCAGTGATTGAATGAGGGAGTGGGTGAGTGAGTGAGTGAATGAGTCAGTGAGTGAGTGAGGAAATGAGTGAGTCAGTGATTGAATGAGGGAGTGGGTGAGTGAGTGAGTGAATGAGTCAGTGAGTGAGGAAATGAGTGAGTCAGTGATTGAATGAGGGAGTGGGTGAGTGAATAAATCAGTGAGTGAGTGAGGAAATGAGTGAGTCAGTGATTGAATGAGGGAGTGAGTGAGTGAGTGAGTGAATGAGTCAGTGAGTGAGTGAGTGAGTGAGTGAGTGAGTGAGTCAGTTGAATAAATCAGTGAGTGAGGTGAATGAATCAGTAAGAGAGTAAATGAGTCTGTGAGTGAGTAAATCAGTGAAGGAATGAGTGAGTGAGTGAGGGAGTGAGTGAGTAAGTGAATGAGTCAGTGATTGAATGAGGGAGTGAGTGAGTGAATAAGTCAGTGAGTGAGTGAGGAAATGCGTGAGTCAGTGATTGAATGAGGGAGTGGGTGAGTGAATAAGTCAGTGAGTGAGTGAGGAAATGCGTGAGTCAGTGATTGAATGAGGGAGTGAGCGAGCGAGTGAGTGTGTGAATGAAAAACGAAGTTATTACATAGTTAAAAACAGTAAATATTCATGAATAATGAAGTATAATTATCTATTTCTAGTAATTTCATTTCACACAACTGACTGAACAGCTATCTGATCAGCGTGATTGGTCACCATTTTTAAAATATTCTGCATATTCAGTTTATGCTTATCCTTAATGTTTTATCATTACGATCACTTTCTGATTTTACATTGTTTATTAACCTATTTTATGTTTTTAAAAACTGCTTTATAACACAAAAGGCTCTATATAAATAAAGCTGAGCTGAAGTAAACTGAGAGAAAAAAAGAGAATATCTCAGTAATGGACCTAAAACATGGTGTAATACCCAACTGTCACCACAAGGGGGCAAAACAACAGAAATAATAAGACCACCAGAAACTCTTGATCAACACTGTGCTAAATAAATCCCAGCGTGTGGGCGTACATGTGTTTAAAGTGAGCTTAAGAGAGAGCGAGAGAGACGAGACAGAGAGAGAGAGAGAGAGGGGTGGGGGTTTAATAAGAGGAAGATGGTGAGGATTATATTATAATACTTTAAATCTGTAACAGCAGGGCAGTATTATGGGATGCCCACAGATTAATAACGCTCTGTGGTCCAGCTGGCTGCCTTAACAAGAGCGAAAGCCCTGCCCTGATTGGTCAGGACACGGTGCTGAAACCATGGAAACAAACAATTATGTTCAGTCCTATGAAAGTAAGTGTCCGTAGGGGGTCGGCGGCTACAGCATAAGCAGAGACCACTAGAGAGAATACTGATGAGATTACAGTTCCTAAACTCCACTCACACACAGACGGCAATGTCAGCTCTCTCTTTTAAACCAAGCTCTTCTTCTGAAAGCTGCTGCAGTGATTACTGTGGGGGCCACACAAATAATACAAATACAGTGCTACGAAAAAGAGCTCATGAAAAAAATTAACAGCTGTGCACAACATTTAACTTGTTCTACTTATCCAAGCACATACACAGCTGTATGCAAAAGTTTGGGCGCCCCGGTCATACTACACGCTCTGTTGATTTTCCAGATGCAAATAAGTTAACACACCCTCTACAGCACACGTGTCAGGCTCCAGTCCTCGTGGGCCAAAACACTACAGAATTCAGCACACTGCCTCATTAAAACACACCTGATTTAGCTCATCAGCTAATTAGCAAGACCTTCATAAACTGAATTCAGACTGTTAGATGATGGTAAACGCTAATCTCCGCAGCACTTTGGCCCGGAGGAACCCCAGTTTGGCGTGCCTGCTCTATGGAGAACACACTTCTGCACATTTTAATGAGTTTAACATAGTTTGGAATAAAAACAAAATATAAAATACGATATATATAATTTTATATTTTACGTTCTATTTTTTCCAAAATGTTAAATTCAGCAAATAAATACAAATGATGCATTTATATTAGCAGAAAAAGACATATCTGAGTGTTCTCTGTAGAGGAGGTGTCAACTTATTATCACTTAGAAATTCAGCAAAGCATGTAATTTGACGGAGGGTGTTCAAACTTTCGCATACGACTGTATATGTGTGCTGCGTGCAAAATTATTAGGCAATTACTGTATCTCAGGATAATTTTTACTCTTGAACAGATGCAATACTTTGAACAGATACACACTTTATTTTGTATCAAAATGTAATGTTTAACAAAGAGAAAGTGGTATTTGGCTTTGCCAAGGGAGAAATACAACACTTTCTCGAATATTAGTCTGTGCAAATAAGCTCACCGTACCAAAACATTAGCCACCTGTGACTGAAACGTACCTACGAGCATTAATTACAGCTGTGATTAGATTTGGCATGGACTGGACGAGTTTCTGGATGTAGGTGACATCAATGTTCAGCCACTCTTACAGCAAATAAGTTAGGCCAGATTTCATGGATGCCATTCCTGGCGTCTTGCTCGTCGTCCCAGGTCGTCCCACAGATTTTCAAGAAGATTCAAATCTGGGGATTTTGCAGGCCAGTCCAGATGTGTGAATGCTCCTGAATGTTCATCATGCCAATCAGTCACATTTGCAGCCCTGTGAACGCCAGAATTCCCATCCTGGAATCCATGGGATAGGAATGTTATGTTCCTTGGTAAGATATGAGCAAAAGGCAAAACCTGGTTGTCCAGCAGCTCAATGTAGGCACTGCAGTTCAAATTTACTGCCACCTCAAGCAAAAGATCCATTTCCATGTAATTAAAACACCCTCAGAACATCACAGAAGCTCCTCCAGCTTGAACCACACCTTGCACACAGCCCTCACTGAAGGCTTCCTGAGGTTTTACGATGAACACGACGCCAAGCATCTCAATTTACTTAACAATAAACAGATATGTCTAGCAAATAAGAATTAAAAAGCATAACAAATAACAATGTCAGCCTTTCAAAATATTCAGTTGCCAATATATTCACCCTTCTTTTCAGCAACATCCATAAGCTCTACAACAACCTTCCAGATTCTGTTCAAAGATGTGTATTGTTTCTGTCACTGTAAATCTCATGCTTTAAAAGAGCCCACAAGTTCTCAATTGGGTCAGACTCCTTTAGTGGCTAGCCAACCAGTGGAGTACTTGGACACCCTGATGCAGCATCGTCCTGCATAAATAATAGGGTCCTCTTCAATGCTGTGGTTCTCTTCCTGCAGCACTGTTTGAAGAAAGTCTTCTGGCAGTGGTTCTGAGAGTTGATTTTCAATCCATCTGTGACCTGAAAAGGTCCAACTAGCTCAGTGTTAATAATAGCTGCCCACGCCACGGCTGGCGCCTCGAACTGGTGCCCCATGTCCATTAGCAATCCAGCCACAGGACCATCTGGTCCATCAACAGTCACTCTCATCTCATCTGTCCATAAAAATCAATCTTAAGATACTTCTTGGCCCAGTCCTGACGCTTCAGCGCTTGTACTGTGAGAGATTCCAGGAAGGCTGCAGTTCTGCCTTTTCTTCTCAGCACATTTTTACAATTTGTTTTTAACGAAGCGCTTGATTGTGCGGCGACCACGCCTCAACAGTTTGGCAATCTGACAGTGCTGCATCCTTCTGATAAGAACCGTACTATTTTGTTTTTTCACATATATCTGAAAAAAGCTGGCCTCCTTAGTGTCGCTGCGGGACTGAGAATAGTCTACCAACAAAAAAGGTTCAGGTATCGGTGCCCTGTAGGATGACCAACACATGCTGAGCAGCTTTACATGTACAAGGTGGACCAACTAGGTAGGAGTGTCTAACAGAGTGGACAGTGAGAGGACACTGGGCGCTGCTGTGTCTGATCCACTCATACAAGTGCAACACACTCTAACATGCCACCACCACATCAGTGTCACTGCAGTGCTGAGAATGATCCACCACCCAAATAGTACCTGCTCTGTGAGGGTCCATGGGGGTCCTGACCACTGAAGAACAGGGTAAAAGGGGGGTAACAAAGTATGCAGAGAAACAGATGGACTACAGTCTGTAATTGTAATGGACAATGAGCGTAGAAACAAGGAGGTGTGTGTGTGTGTGTGTGTGTGTGTGTGTGTGTGTGTGTGTGTGTGTGTGTGTGTGTATATATATATATATATATACACAAAAAAGAATGTTATATGGTACATTACATATACTGGTACATTAATTTTTTGGTTTGTTTTCATTCATTTTCATTTTTAGAAGCTGTCCTTTACACTGTGTGAACATTTTATGTCCAAAATTATCTAGAAAAAAAATTTGGAAAATGTACATTAAAGTTAGCACTGTTTTTTCCTTTTCCTGTAAAGTTACCATTTTGGAGATGTGAGGTTTGTTATGACAGTCATCATAAGCATGTAATCAGCTTCACAATTTAAGGCTAAACTGATTCGGTCAGCACTCTAAATGATTGAGACTTCGATAGGTAGATGGTCTGAGAGTAAAAAAATCTTTTGATTAGTCCACAAAAATATCCCACCTATAGCCCCAAATACCCCCTCAATAAACCACAAATATCTTCCATATACTTGTTGATATCTACAAAAGCCTAATCACCTCAACTATAGCCCCAAATAC